GGTTCTTGGTCTGGGTCTAGGCCGGAGCCGCTCAGCCGGGCCCGAGACCGGCACCGCGGGGCCTGAGCCGGGCCGGGCCAGAGCCACTCGGCTGGAACCGGGCTGGGCGTGTTCGGCCGGGGCCAGGCCGGAGGGAGCCGCGCATTCAGCCAGGGCCAGACTGGGCCGCACTGCGCCTCCCTGGAACTCTCCTCGCGCCCCCGAACATCTGGTTCGCGGGAAGCAGGGGAGAGGGAGGAGAAGGTGGGCGGAGCGTTCAGGGGAGGAGGGGGAAGTGGGCCGGGGGCGTGGTGGACAGCTGCACGGGGCCCGCTAGGCGCGGGGCCCCATTCAGGGGAATCAGCCGAATTGGCCTAAAGCCGGCCCTGTGTCTATGAACAGGACAAAATGCCGGGGTTGCCTGCCATAGCAGAGGGCTGGACTCAGTGACCCAGGAACTCCCTTCCAGGCCTATGTCCCCTCACACACTGGCAAGACCTGCAAGAAACTTCACAACCTCTGTTTCCTGTTCTCTGTGAGCCGGATTTTCAGGCACTTAGCGTCCACTGTGACATTTACAGCTAGAAGTGATTAGCTCAGGGTTGATTAGTAGCAAAGCCTGGCTGAGAACCCAATTCCCCTGCATCATACAGCACTGGACCACATCGCTTCTCCATACGTGAGCAGGAACGGGAGCCGGCTGCATGTGATAACCCCACGCTGCTTCTCGTTGCAGGTTTCAAGTCAGAGGGGAAGGGCAGTGCGCCTACCTGGATGATCATGGGGTCAGCAGCTCCAGGTGCTACTCAGAGAGACATTTCATCTGCAGCCAGACGGCTGAGTGCTCTAGAAGGAAGCCAAGTGCCGCAGGAGGGGACACAATGTCTAAGATCACTTAAAGGGTCAATGCAGCCTCTTCAGTGGATGCAGAACATAAACATCATCATCTCTTGCAGAGCATCGTACCTCTCCAACCATTGCTCCCTCCAGATCCCTGCTGAAAAACCATCTTTACAATGCTCACAACACGAACTACTAAACAGTAACTCCATTGCAATGGTACTACTGAACAGGGGTTTTAGGGGCTTAAATCTAATATTCCCTTAATACGTGAAGTGAATAAATTATTTAGATTATGAAGAATCCCTGCTTTTATTTAAAAAAGAGTATGTTTCTAGCTTGCTTGGTTATGAATATACCCTGGCAAATCAAATAGAGTCAGCAGAGAGCTTGAAACAATAACTCAGAGAAGTGCCCCATTTAATTAATTGACACTTTAACTCTGGAACCTAGTGATGACAGTAACTTCTTTCTTTCTTTTTCCTCTACGCTGCTTTTCCTGGTGAGGGTCGCGGCAGCAGCATGGAGAGTAGGGAGGACCAGACCTCCTTTTCCTCCGCAACAGATTCCAGCTCCTCCTGGGGGATTCCCAAGCATTCCCAGGCCAGCCAGGAGATATAATCCCTTCAGCTGTTTTGGGTTGGCCTCAGGGCCTTCTCCCAGGGGTACATGTTCAGTAGAGTTCCAAAGGAAGCCTACCAGGGGCATCCTTATTAGTTGCCCAAACCCCCTCAGCTGGCTCATCTCAATCTTCCTCCGATGCCGGTCATCACAAAGTGTGATCCAGTCCACCTTGCAATGCCTCCCTCCATCTACAGGCTGACTCTGCCAGCCAGCGCGGCATTCTGCGTTCCTTTCCCAATCATCCACCGAGATTCCAAAGGACACTGAGTCAGCTTTGCAAGCGTCCCGGAATCGGCGCAGTGATCTGCCTCTTTCTCTAGATCAGGGGTCTCAAACTCAAATGACCGCGAGGGCCACATGAAGACTAGTGCATTGGCCCAAGGGCTGCATCACTGACACCCCCCCCTCGCTGTTCCTGGCCCCACCCCCACTCCACCCCTTCCATGAGGCCCTGCCCCTGCCCCGTCTCTTCTCCACCTCCTCCTCCAAGCGGTTTTAATAAAATATATACACTCAGTAAAGCCCCCCCACTGCACTGGGCTGCACCACCACTCCACCCCTGCTCTGCCTCACCAGGGGTGGCAGGTTTGTAGAAATTTTGGTGGTGCCCAAAACTTGCCCCCTCCCAACTCCGTCCCCACCTGCCTAAGGCTCTGGGAGGGAGTTTGGATGGGGGAGGGAGTTTGGGGTGCAGACTCTGGGATGGAGTTTGGGTGCTGGGTGCAGGCTCTGGGCTGGGGCAGGGGGTGGGGGTGCAGGCTCTGGGCTGGGGCAGGGGGTGGGGGTGCAGGCTCTGGGACGGAGTTTTGGGATAGGAGGGGGTGCAGAGGTGAGGGCTGTGGGGCTGGGAATGAGGGGCTCAGGGCATTGGAGAGGCTCAGGACTAGGGCAGGGGAAGGGCAGCCTGCCCTGGCCCTAGTGAAGGGGGGCACTAGGACCCTACAGCAGCAGGTGATGCTGGAAGCCGGCAGAGCAGAGTGGAGTTAGCATGGGCTGCAGGCTCTGGGGCGGTGAGGGGGCAGCAAGTGAGGCCGGGGGACACTCGGGGGGAGGCGCGTGGGGGCGGCAGGCAAGGCTGGGGGAGAGACCCGGCCCCAAACATTGGGGAGCAGCGCGCGGGGAGCTTAGTGCCACATAAAATAACTCGGGGGGGCGGGGTGAGGGGAGTTTGGCGGTGACAGGAAGTAATGGGGGGGCCGCGGGGAGCATGGCAGGCCGCAGGGAAGAGCTCCGCGGGCCGCGTGTTTGAGACCCCTGGTCTAGATCTTTTGTGAGCGTCAAAGTCCTGCAAACTCTTCGGGATCCTGTAATCCGGCATTTGCGTGACATGACCAAGCTGCCTGAATCCTTTCTTACTAATTAACATTCCCATAAGTGACATACCAGCACGATTTAGCACTTGCACATTTGTCACCCGTGTTGCCGTCTTCTTTGAAGAATTTTACTCAAGCATCTGACATGGAAGCTGGTTAGTCTCTGGTATGTTTGGCGTAAGTCGTCCATGTTTCTGAGTCATACAGAAGCGTGGATAACACACACGTCTTATAAATACCGATTTTCACTTTAATGGACCATTTGTCATTGTTCCAGGCTCTGTCTCGCAAAAGACAAAAGTTCCCGGCAGCTTTGCTGATTTGCTAGTGAGTTCAGTGTCAAGATCTACATGGCTGGTAACAGTAGAGCCAAGGTACCAAAATTGGTCCACACCATCCAGACGAACACCCCCAAGGGGATATCTGGAACTGGCTCTGAAGAGCCCTGGGGCGTGAAAACTTCTTCAAGCTTCTTGCTAGCCCAGAGATTTTGCATGAATCAGAGACCTTGGTAATAAGCTGTTGCAGGGCATCAACACGGTGAGCCACAAGGGCTGCATCATCTGCAAACAACAGGTCCCGTATGATGATCTCCTTCACCTTCCTCTTAGCTCTGCACCGTGCAGTGTTAAACCCACCTCCGTCCTGTCTGGTGCTAGTACAGACACCCCCTCGGCCATCACGGAACGCACGTTCCAGCAGGAGTGGAAGTAAATATTAAACGATGTAGGAGCCACTACGCAGCCCTGCTGCACTCCATTGTTGATGTTAAGCGACGTTAAATGACTGGGGGTAAGTGTCACTTGTGATACCAATAAATAATAATAGACAAACATATAACAAAAAGCTGCCCCAAAGAGTTTACAGTCTAAGTGTAAGACAACAGTCAGGGAGAGAACCAGAAAACAATGAGAGGAGATTGTTGCTGGACTTTCATGCTAACTGTCTAAGCCAGTGGTTTCCGGTGCTCCACGGACCCCTGGGGATCCATAGATGATGTCTGCACCTCCATTTGACATGTTGTAGGGCTCTGCAAGTGAAGAAAGGTTGCAAACCAATGGTTTAAGCCAGGGGTTCTCAAACTGGGGGTCGGGACCCCTCAAGGGGTTGCAAGGTTATTACATGGGGGGTTGTGAGCTGTCAGCCTCCATCCCAAACCCTGCTTTGCCTCCAGAATTTATAATGGTGCTAAATATATAAACAAGTGTTTTTAATTCCTAAGGGGGGGGTCACACTCAGAGGCTTGCTGTGTGAAAGGGGTCACCAGTACAAACGTTTGAGTCCCACTGCACTGTTTCACGGTGCCTGGGGGACCCTGTCGTTCTGCTTCTCTTCTCTAGGTGACCCCTGGACTGTCCCACGCTAGACGCACGGTGTGATCCAGAGACCCCTTAGTGCCACCTGGCAAAGGGGCCAGCGAGGGTGCCCGGGGTGTGCACATTCTAGATCACCAAAGAGCATCACATGAGGTCTCACATTCAAGTGCGTGTCACTGGTCACTAATGTCATTGTGAAACACACGTACGGCTGGTGTGCAAGCAGTTCTGTGTAAACACCGACTGTTATGGTCCCAGTGTCTGTGTCTAGGTGCGGGGTCACCGGCAAAGGTGTGAACCAGGTTTTCTGTCAGACAAAGGCCGTTTCTGTCTCTCTGGTTGTTGACAGGTAAATTAAGTGTGGGATAGTTCACAGTGGGGCTCCTCTCCCGGGTCTGAACCAAACACTGAGGAAGGATGAGGGGGAACCACACAGAGAGAAAAGTAACAGGATGGAACAGTGTCAGTTATGCTGCTTCTACCTCCATTAATAACTGGAAATTAAACCCTGTCGCTGTAACAGGAACGTCAATGGCCTGTTGCTACTGGAGTCACTGAGTGCGTAGAAATTGGCCCCAGCTTCTGGGCAAATGCGCTGAGTGATGCATTTGGTCTGTAATAACGTGTATGTACGTGTCTGTCTCACTTGTGTCTGAATTCTGTTTATATTTATATGTAATATATTAACCGACTCTTGTTGTTTTTTTTAAGTAGCATGGGACAATCTGTCTCTCTTGTGAGATTTGCGGGATCTAAGGTTTTCCTTAATCTTCCTCATCCTCACCCAATAAAGGTGCTGTTTTGTCAGATGCTATCATAAACAGACAGTTAAGGGTTAATGCCTCTTTCACCTGTAAAGGGTTAAGAAGTTCACCTAGCCTAGCTGACACCTGACCTGAGGAACCAATGTGGGGACAAGATGTCTCAAGAGGAAGGAGGGAAGTTTTTCCTTTGTTCTATTCATTAAGTTCTGTGCCAGAGGGAAAAGATCCAGGAATCAACCAGGGTAGTGAGTATTAGAGAAGGAATAAATTAGCTTATGCTTATTTCCTTTTGTGACTTCATTTTGCATAAGAGGGGGAATTAAATTGGGTTTTTCTTTTGTGTACCTAAGGTTTTTGCCCAAAGGAAAATCCTCTGGGTTTTTGAATCTGTTGTCTGTGAGAATAGCTTGCATGCTAATCTCACAGAGGTATTCCTTTCACCCTTTTTCTTTAATTAAAAGTCTTTTCTTTAAAACCTGATTGATTTTTCCTCGTTTTAAGATCCAAGGGGTTTGGATCGGTGTTCACCAGGAAGTCTCTCAAGGCTACTCAGGGAAGGGTTATAGTACTTGGGAAGGAGATATTCTAGGGGGAAGACAGAGTTCCCAAATGACTCATAAACGGTTGTTTAAACAATTTGGTGGTGGCAGCATACTAATCTAAGCTGGTAATTAAGCTTGGGGTTCTCATGCAGGTCCCCACATCTGTACCCTAAAGTTCAGAGTGGGGGTGAAACCTATGACAGATGCTACTTAGTAGTTTGTGAATCCCCACCTGACTCCTAGAGATGTGCCTGTCCTGCAGCAGTCCTTGCATTCAGAGGTGTGTGTTTATTGCCGCTGGGTGTCCCAGTGGAGGTGTGACAGCCGCTGTCATGGCTGACACCCCAGGAGTTGAGCCAGGGAATGTACAGAACAAGACGCATGAGCTGCCCTGGGCTGGAGCTGCAGGGCCAGGCTTTGTAGCGACGGGTGTAATGGACGTCGATCCTCTGTGGAGCAGGCGCCGGCAGCGACCTGTGACCTGCACTGACCAGTGTGTTACAGAGTCACTAATGAATCCGGGCAGAAATTTTTCAGCAGGTCGTTTTTCCTGTCGGGAAAATGGTGATTCATCAAAAATCAAGACATTCTGCAGGGACGCGTCTATTTTGACAAAAGTTTGGACAGAAACTTACCTGGTGGCCTGCCCGCCTGGCTCCTCAGCCGCCCACCTGGTGTCCTTCTCGGGAGCCTGAGTTGTCAGACTCCCAGGTCTCAGCATTGTGTCAGGTGGGGAGCTGGAACTCCCAGGGCTTCCAAACCGTTTGGAAGTTTGCCCCCAGTGAGGTGCCAGGGAGCTGGAGAGGTGGGACTGGACGGCTTTGCAAAATTCTTCCCAAATTGAATTTTTTTAAAACAATCCCTCCCGTGGAAAATATCGCATAGCTGGCCATTAATTCCTATTTGGAACACACACACACACTCTCTCTCTCTCTCTCTCTCTCTGCCGGAAGTGTTTATGCTACCATGGCCGGTGTGGAGCTGGCATAAGGGCCCTGCAGGTACCCTGCTTCCAGCCCCTTGGTGTAGGGGCTGGATTGAGGACGTGGTCGGAATGCACTGTGCTCCGCCTATTCTATGCTACCTAAGGCCAATAGAGAACAGACTGTAGATTAGAGCAGCCTTGAAGCTGCTCCGATCTACACCAGGGGGCAGGCAGAGCTCTGCACAGACCCAGAATAGGGGAAGCAAAAAGGGGGGTTAAAACTACTTAAATTCCAATCCAAGCTGAGGAATGTGGTAACTGGGGATCAGGCCCTGTATCTCCAAAGGGGAGGTGTCGACACATCCAAATCTCTTTACGTATCATGGTACAATACTGACTATGTACTATGGTGCAGACAGCAGAGGGAGCCACCGTTCACTCGTAGTTCCTCTTAGCACCAGGCTTC